GACAAAGATAAGGATAAGAAAAAGCCGGTTTCCCGTTCATCCCGTGCCGGAATCCAGGTGACCCACATCTCTCCCACCGTTTCATTCTATTTGGACGTCTATGTTATAATAAATCGCTGACGTCGAGTAACACCTTGCTTTAATTGTTGCTAATGGCTAACAGTGTTCAAATGATTGGTTGTGTTTTGTCCACGGACCCAGATCTAGTTATACTTATCCTCTGTCATTCAAAAAAAACAAGAAAGTTATGCTTATCCTCTTTCCTACCTTTTCAACGTGTCCCACTCTCAGTTGTTGCTCTTCCTCTGTGGAGGAACGCGACCATGCCTAGAGTTTATCAATAATTAAGAAATCTTGGTTTGATGCTGCCCAACGCAAGTAAGATTTAGGGAAATAATCCTTGATGTGTTCGAGCGCAGTATAGTTTTCTAGCAAGATTACTTCCTGGAAGCATTGTTATCGTAGAGATAGTTACATTTTTAATGTAAGTTTTAAATGCCAAAATTCAGACTCAGCACGCTTAGATGTCAAATCAGGGCAAGGCAATGGTTGTAGGCATGTAGATTACCATCTTAGATTGTAACATTCGACACCAAAAGAATATTGAGGCAGCGTTAAATCAGAGTATCAAATTGGGACTGTCATGATTGACTAGAATGCTTTCATGTCTGTTTGCTCGAGTTGACGAAATTGGCATGGGTGGGTTTCAGTTTCCAGTGGGTCGTATTCATAGGCAGCTGAAACAAAGGATCCAAGCGAATGGTCGTGTTGGTGCCACCGCTGCAGTTTATTTGGCGTCAATTCTGGAATATCTGACAGCAGAAGTTCTTGAGCTTGCTGGAAATGCGAGCAAAGATCTCAAGGTGAAGAGGATCACGCCCAGGCACTTGCAATTGGCTATAAGAGGAGACGAAGAGCTAGACACTCTGATTAAAGGGACCATTGCTGGCGGTGGAGTTATCCCTCATATCCACAAATCCTTGATCAACAAAACTTCCAAAGAATGAGCACCTTGCTTCTCATTTCACTGTTAGGTAGTAGTGGTTGCTGTGTAGGGAAACTTGACTGGTTTGATTAGAACTGAATGTTAGAATGTATATGGTCGGTGTTTTTGGATTTGTTTAGTTTAACTGTATGGAGTCTGTAGGAGATTTGGAGCGCTCTTGAATCATGAATTCTTCCTTTTACTTGAACGTAAGATAGTGGTGGCCATTTATTAAGGACGTAGCCTGTCCGTAGTTCATTTAACCTTCGCAAATCTCAATGCGTTAGCTTCTTTCTTAGAATTCAAGCAACGCAAGGAGGAGGGCGTCCTTCAAGAAATTGCTGAAATGTTTCCCGAGGTTCTGCAACGGCCTTGTCTAAATTAACAGTTTCTTCAGCTCCTGAATGATTCATTATTGTTTGGTTTGATATTACTCGCATTCTAGGAGTTGAGTCCTCGTCATCCACGATGGCCCGAGAATGTCTGCTACTCTGCGCCTTTATATAGTACTCCTCCGGTCCTTATTATAAGATCCTATTTGACTTTTTATTTGGTCCTAATTATAAGACCCCAATCCATTTTGTCTCTTATATTTATGCATTTTTTTCCAAAATAATCCTTCTAATAATGATAGTTTTAGTCAATATACTTAATTAGCAAGGATATTTTAGGAATGACAACACTTATTTATTATAAATAACCAACTTAACTTACTTCCTTAATCTCCTCAAATAAGTCAATTGGGTCTTATAATTAGGATCGGAGGAGTACTATCTCTGTTTTTAAATATAAGATTTTGTTTGACTTTTATTTTGGTTTTAATTATAAGATTTCAATTCACTTGTTTTTTATATTTATATATTTTTCTTAAAGTAGTTTTTTAAATAATAATAGTTATAGTCAATATATTTGATTAGTAAGGATATTTTAAGAAAGACTGTTTATTTATAACAAATAACTAATTTAATTTATTTTTTGATCTATTCAAATGAATGAACTAGTTCTTATATTTAGGATTGGAGATAGTATATAAAATAAATATGTTAAGGAATTTGTCTTGATTTATAAGAAAAAGTGTTTTTAAAAAGTATTTCTGGACACATCCGAAGACAAAATCAGAAGAAAGAACAGTGAGATTTGTGTTGATAATGAAGCTTTGCACTGTTTATTTACCCGAACAGTTTGAAAATGAGATGACTCAATAATTAAATTCAACTATCATACACGTAAGCTAAACTAACCTAAGAATAATTGCACTTTCTCTAAGAATTTGAATTCCTCGAAACCGAGCGAGTGAACCAAAAAAATTGTAGCAAAAAGAAAAGTTAAAAAAAAAAGGCAAGGGAATGATTTTCTTATGTTAGGCCTCTCCGGAAAGGATCGCTTTTGTCTTATAATGGTAAGGCCCAAAGTAGAGATTTTTTCCCCACTACATTTTTTGGGGTTTCCAGATAGGTCCAAATTACAAAGTCCTTTTCGAAGCGCTTCGAATATTGATTCGGCCCAGTACTGTCTTTGATGCCCAGCCGAAAAGCTGTTTTTGTATCATACCCGTCTCTGACTTCTTCCATTTCAATTCCAGCACGGCGTCTTTTCAAATTCCTTATTTAGTTGAATCGAAGTTAAATTGTTTTTTCATTTTTATGAAAGCTCGTGGCAAAATTGTAACAAAAAAGGTCGGACAGGGCATTCAATATATACTGAATCAAGCATGAACGGGGGTAAGGAATAGGGCTTGGCGAAGAAGCTTTCGCCATTAATGAACAAAAGAAGGAGACAAGAGTGAAGATGGAAGCCAGCGAGGACAAGGATTGGACAGATTTAAATGAGTATTTAGATGAAAAGAAGCCAACTCATAGGGATTGAGAGAGTAAGAGAGAGAGAGCAGAGAGCAGAGAGCAGAGGCATGTGCTTCTGCAACTCCACCCATCCACGTCTGGAAACACACATGCTTTGCTAGGTTTGTGCCCTTTCCGGATGACAGACGACCCCTCTCCCTCTTGTTTAGGAGCTTAGCTTCTTGTGCTTTTTTAATGCAGATTGTTTGGCTGGGGATTAATAATGTGCAATCACAACCCACTACGGACCCACTCGAGAGGAAAAATCACTTGGTTGTTTCTGGGAATTGTGGGGGTCCTGTCCCTGAACAGACCCTACCACCAACGTAGCCCCTGGCTGGGCACATGAATGATATTAGAATGATTCCAGAACAGTACGTAATCCCATAATTGAGGAAAGAAAGAAAAGAAGTGAACAGAGAGGAAGAATTATATTATCGGGTATCCGTCAAGTGTTAGCTTCTCATACCACATTGAGATCCCGTTTGAGGTTTCATGAAGCCCATCCACCTGCTGGTGTCATTATCCAGTCGCTGGTACCAATCATGCAAATTTTTGGACCCCTTCGCATTTTGCACGCCGTTCAACTGCTTGCTTCAATTTGTTTGTTCTAATAAAAGGGGATATTATTAGTTGGGAGGTGAAAGAGATATGTACATATGTTATTTGCGCAGAGAGAGAGAGAGAGAGAGGATAGGAAGATAACGAACTGATCTGCGCATGAAAAGCAAAGGAGCATGTGGAGAGGGCAGTGAAGGTCAATTCAAAGCGTGCTTGGAGGATGATACATTACACGCTATTTGTGGAGCAGGAGTACCTGTTATAAGCATGACATGTTGACAGGGAGAGTAGGGTCTGGGGAGACACAAAGGACCCAGATTCATTATAAATCCTTATCCATGCCTCTCTTGCTATTAGTATTACTGTTTCCCAATCCATACCCTTAACTAACTACTCATTTCTTGTTCTGTGCCCACTGCCCGCCTCGCTTCAAACCGATCTTCTTATGATTAATCCCATGGCACTTGCATTTTATTTAGTGTAGAATGGTTTTTTGTTATATTCATTTCATGGGTTTGGATGGGTGAGGCGAGAAGAGCTATTTATTGAATGACAAAGGAAGAAGAATGACGCATCCTTTAAACGAAACGAAATCCATCTGTCGCTTCAAGTGAAGTGAGCCTCTCACGCATCAAAAACGGCTGCATCCCGTTCCCTTTATAATTGCTCAAGTGCCTTTGCTGTTCCCTTTTTCTCACACTTTTGTGGGACCCTCCTATCTCTCTCAAACCAAACATTTCACAAATCACGCAACATTAATAATTTACATTGTTCTCAGCTGTACTTTTCAGAGGTAATCTTTCAGATAAAAAGTCTGCTCTTTAAATATTACCCCCCAACTGAATTACTAAATGATGGTTAACGCTGGTAGAGCGTCAATTGAGCACCGAAAATCGTCCAACTAATTTGCCTTTTTAGATGATGCTGTTTAAATGTTTTGGGAGAAAATGCAATCTGCCACGTGTGATCATGAACTATTTCACTGCGGACTCCTGTCGATGATTGAGATAAAACAACATATAAAACAGTGAAATTGAACTTTCTTGCCAGTCATCCAATGAATTAATTGGCCAATAAGAAAGGGCATTATACTGGATTCCAGTTTCGGGACCATTTTAAAACGGTGAAAATATAATTACGTAAACAGACATTGATAGATCTAATCTCAACATATTCCGACTAACAAGTTTCGGGATTTTTTTGCAACCTTTTCATGCAAGGTTGAATGAAAAACACAATAAAAAAAAAAGGCGATGGAAGCGTTTCCGCATTATTCGTTTGGAAAGGAACATTCGGCGAGATACCGGGGGGCGGGGGTCACAACTCACAGCTTTGGCCAATTACCAGCCACTCCCCATAGAATTATAGTAAATGCCATCTTTATTTATACCCAAATAAAATAGTCATCCTTCGGTCTGCCTAGATTTCAGCTTCCAAATTCCTAATTCCTTCACTAAAAAAGGGAATAAAAAATGATTAGGCGGAGGAAAAGCGAGCAACGCAACCAAAATCGACCCCTTTTCTTGTTCTTCATCTTTTTCTTTTTTTGGTGTCTTTTCTTTCTTTTCTTTTTTTAAATATTTTTCCGGGGGATTTTAGCTTTTCTTCATTCCTCGCATTCCTAATCCGATTTCAAAACACCAATTTCCTACGAAGGGCGGAGAGCCTGTTAGATGATTGGGCGAGATCTCGTATGGTTTCGCCGATGAGATCCTTGAACACGAGACGTTCGATGTCTAGAACCACCTCGCCCATCTCCACTGGGCATTCTCCCCATCCATTCATGCCGTCCTCCGCCAGATCCTTCCTTAGCACGCCGCATATTACGTCGAACAAGTCCTCTGATTCCTCCTTCTCTCTTCGGATCCGCCGGAACTCTGACCATATTCTCTGCAACAACGGTGTCTGCCCAATCCACGAAATTGCCTTCCACGGCGGAAGTTGTTTATTCCGCTTCAGGATTTCGTGTATGGTGTCGAAGATGAGTCTTCTTTGGAGGGTGGAAGCTTTGGAGGTGTCATTCCCCTTGAGATACTGCTGCTTTTCCAGTAATAGGAAAATGTCGCTGTCTTCGGGCAAGTAATTGGAAGCTCGCAGGATTTCCGACACATAAACGAAGTCGTAATCCTCGGATGTCTCCTCCGATTTGGCTCCTCCCATGAAACCCATGGCTGCACTCCACATGTCGTCCTCTGACTCGGCGGGTTGTTCTGTAATGAACAGAGAAATAGCATTAACAACACCAACACCGCCTAAACGAAAATACTCCGATGCTTGACATAGAATTGGAGTGGCCAAATATGCTCACATTCAGCTAGTATATTACTGTCAAGTGTCAATCGCCCATGTTTTATATTGTACAGGAACAGTTATTACTACACATGATACACTAGTTCTTTTATTCCTTATTAAGAGTTGCTTTTTGCCTTCTTGCGTTGCGTATGTAAGTGAATTAGAATTACAGTGGCCGGACGCATGTGAAGTGGTAGCTTCCAATTAATTTGCTCATTGACTCCTGAGTCCTGAGTGGGGATATGACGGACCACACCCCGCACATTTTGACGTAGTCAATTAACCAACCAGAATCACCCACGTCGGAAAAGGAAAGTAGACCGTAGGTGTAGCTCTGTCCTTGGAAAGGGAAAGAGGAAGCATATAAACTAGCTGGCTACGGGGGTAGCAGACGTCACCATAGAGTTCAAGACAAATGCAAAATCTAGAAAATTAACGCTTTTATTTTAAATACACAAGACGCTGAACCACAAGCAATTATGAATGTCGCTCACCTCTGTAATCAATGCACCGCTTCATGACTGGAGATGGTGATGAACACTCGTCCTTGTCAAAAGACGAGTCCAGCACTGAGACTGGGCTCGGCTGCAACTCGCTCGCAGTTATTTCGGCTATGCTGTGCAGCAGCTTATCACACCTCTCCAATAGATTTCTCCCTTCCTTGTACTCCTCCAACTTGCATCTCTGCACAAACATAATTTACCCATCTAAATTCAGTTTGACTCAGCATTTTTACCACAAAATGACAATGCTCAATTCATGAATAAATTGTCGCTAACTTTACCTCTGTATCTGTCTGCGAAGACGTGCTAATGCTGCTCTCCGAGATGGTGGATGATTCATCCTCTGCTATACTCAACTCCTTATCCTTCTCGTAAGTCTCAGCCACCGGTTTTCTCATTCTCGGCGATCTATTCGTCACTTGCTGATGGGGTACATTCCTTCTTGAACCTAATTTTGGGGAATGAACCGGAGAGATTCTTCTCTGACCAACAGAGTCATTCCCTTTCCTCTGTTCCTCCGTGTTCGTTAGCCTGTTCCGGCTTGGGCTCTTCACACTGCTCTCGCTGCGAGTGGGCAAGCTCAAGTTTCTGA